TGATAAAAGAAGTCCATATCTTTTCTAAGTTTGACCACAAATCTGGATTCTAACAATTAGACATTGACCCTGTTGATCAATACAAGCCTGTTTTCTGTATACCTAATGCTCAATACCAATGGAATGTAATGCCCTTTGGGCTTAAGACAACCCTATCACTGTTCTAAAAAGTCATGACAAAAATCTTTGAGCCCATACTAGACAGAGCGATTGTGTATATTGATGACATCTTACTGTTCTCACAAGACATGAACTCCCATAAACAGTTATTGGATCAATTTTTTGGAATATCCTATCAACATGAGATTATGCTCTCAGAGAAGAAGATCCACTTGGCCCAAGAAGAAATCGACTTTTTAGGAATACACTTTTGTTATGGAACTTATCAACCTCAACCTCACACTGCAGAAGAGCTTCTTAATTTCCCGGATGAGAATCTGACCATCAAGCAGATCCAACGATTTCTCGGGATAGTAAACTACATTAGAGAGTTCATCCCTAACATTTCCAAGTACACAAGTCCCTTATCTAAGATGTTAAAAAAGAATCCACCTCCATGGGGATCAGAGCAGACCATAACTATTAAAGAACTGAAGAAGATAGTCCAAACTCCTCTAGCTCTGAAGATTCCAGGCAACGGAAAGCGAGTACTACAAACTGATGTCAGTGATGAATACTGGGGAGCAGTGCTCATTGAAGAAGATAATTGAAGAAGGTACTACTGTGGTCATGCTAGCAGACAATTCAAAGATGCTGAGAAATATTACCACGCCACATATAAGGAAGCCTTGGCCGTCAAAAATGGAGTAAAGAAGTTTGACTTACACCTCAGAGGACATCACTTTGAGGTACAGATGGACAACTCTTCGTTCCTAAAGATCCTAGAGTTCAAGAAAAAGATGTCTCTTAATCATTAGATTCTCCGACTAATGTAAGTATGATTTTACTATTAAGCACGTTAAAGGAAACCTAAATATAATCCCTGACTTTTTGTCCAGACCTAAAAAAACCGTCCAATTGATTGTTGACACCTATGAAAACTCTCTCAAGAACTTGACCTCGATCTTCATCATCCACCGTCCATACTTCCTAAATCCAGTAGGTCAACTATGGTCAAGAAATGAAGCCTACATCTGGGCACCTTTGAAACTTACCCACTTGATGAAAGTTATCATGCATAACTGGCGCGACACCTCTGTGAAGTTAACAATTACCATCACAAGCCAGTGGACCCTAACATCGTTAGCTCATCCCAAAGACCACTCGACTCATATCCTATGGATAAGATCATCCCAGAAGACGATGTATCTAAAAAAATAAAATTTTTCAAATCAAGGGCTGAGATGAACATCCCTAATGAAGCATTCCAGAAGGTTGAAAACCTAGCGGATAATTTCAATGAAGAATTGATGGAAGAAATGATGATGCACAATAAAATGTATCCCTACTAGGACCCACTACATGGAAGCATGATAAGGAGCGAGGCTCAGCAGATGAATTATTCTGGCTCCACCAGATCTAACTAAAGTAAACACTTTAGTTAATGGTTGTCATTATGACATGCTACTAAAGCACGATTCCCTTATCTTTTCACGTGTCTATTGCGATCACCGCAAACGTGTTAAGGAAGATAATTCTGGATCAACTTTACTTTTACTCAAAGGGATAAGCCATCAACTTTGCTTCTACTCGAAGAGATAGACCAGTGGCGGATCTTCTTGGGAGCTGAGGGAGGCCGTGGCCCCCCCAAAATTTTGTAACTCCCATGTAATTTATGATTTTGGCCCCCCCAAACTTAATTAACATTTAATATATTTACTTGTATATTTACCATTTTATCCTCTCAGCCCCTCCTCAGTTTTGTAACTCTCATATAATTTATGATTTTGTCTCTCTCTAACTTAATGATCATTTAATATATTTAAGTATATATTTACAATGTTATCCTTTTACCCTTTCATCTTCTTTCTTCCTTTTATATTTATTTATTAATAATATATTATTTGGCCCCCCAAGATCAATGGTCAAGTTCGCCACTGAGATAGACCATCACATCCTATCTTTTCGAATCTTATCTTATCTTGTCCATATGTATGACTAAAATAAAGTGTGAATCATGTTATCTTTACTTTTATAAGGCTATTATTAAGTGTGAGTCATAGTCTTATAATCTTTATTTCAAATTCTACCTTGTAACATAAGTTTCAGGTCCGAATTTCATTTTAGTTTAGGGTAGCTTTGGATTTCGCTTGCTTGGTTTTGCTATAAATAGGGGATGCTTATAATATTGTAACTCAGAACACGATAGAGTGAAATCAATACAAGTTCTCTTCTTAGAAATGTTTTCTTTCTAAGTTTTCTCTTCTCTGAAAGTTTAAAACTTATAGTTCTTAGTATCATTCCCCATTTAGATGCAAGTATGCTCTACACTTGTCTCGAAAGAGGATCCTGTATATCAGAAAGCTTCCGATCTATGAAACTGTTTTACCACACAATGTTCTTCTTATAGGAAATATGAACTTGAGTGAACTTTTAACCGAGGGATGGTGTCGTTATGTCTGAGAAGATTCATATCATCTGAATAAGAACATTATATTATGATACAATAATTTCCTTGAAAAATAAAATTCATTTTGATAAAACAAATAATAAAAATAAAAGGTTGGAAAAATTAATTATATGAATAAAGATAAAATGAGAGTGGCTTGAGATGGTGTCAAATGAACTGATTGGTAAATTAAATTAACTTTAAAATTATATGTAAGAAATTTATTTTAAAATTAAGTGTTCGATTTATGATGTTAAATAAACTACGAAAAATGATAATAGAGAGATTCAGATTTTGAATATAAAAGTATATAAATATCATCAAAATTATATGATGAAAAAGTTGGAGTATATTATCCAACATCAATTGTTCATCACATTAATTTTGTGTGATAAAAAGTATGTAATTAAATTTAGGGTAGTCAAACTCATATACCTACAGTATGTAATTAAATGAGTATCTTTTTAATAAATTTATTAATTTTGTGTTTGATTTCTCATAAATATTTTTCTGTCGTAATAATATTTGATCTTTATCATTAAGTTTTTCTTATCTTAGTATTGATGTGAAGGTTAAATTGGTTTCTTTTTAAATCTTTAATAAGGTTACTAGTATTATCAATTAAATTCAAGATTTTTTTATCTTTAGTTAGTAAGTATCATTAAATTTGTAATTTATATATTTATTTTAAGGAAATACATAATATTTATAGAAATAAATTTTTATTTCATAACAATAAACAGGTAATGTCTAAAGAATAAACCAATCTTAAAAAAAATAACAGATCATTACATGATTATCGTTGTTTATTTCATTAATCATGGTGTACAAGAAACAAAAGATAAAGTTAAAACTTAAATTCAAACTCAAAAATATTCACTAGAACATTCATTCTCCACGTCTTTTTGTTACCTTAGGCTCTGAAATAAAATCCATGGTTGGTGACAGTGAAACTAGTCTTGATTTTTTTATTTCTGAGTGCAAGCCCAAAATTTCCAAGTGTTCCAGTCTTCTATGACGATTTTTAAATTGATTTGCCAATATTTTTTATAAAACTGAGAGATATAAAAAGTAACAATATTTGCCTAGTCATTTTCATTTAGCAAGTAGTTAAACTTGTTGAACCAAAATCACTTGATGGACAAACAGACAATAAGAAAAACCCATCAAGGAAAAATATACTTTTGACATTTGGAGGGAAACTCGTGGAGTGTGTTAAGGATGCAACCAAAATTAGTCGGTTATCTTTACCAATATTTTTGGATCAAAATAATATATAATGAAGAAATAAATGAGAGAAAAAAATTGACTAAAATTTATATTTATAATATTTTATTTAAGTTAACATAATTTTATTAGATAATTAAATTTAAATATCCATTTTTTTTAAATAAGACAATATTTGCAAATATACAAATTTTAAAAAATTCCCACTAAGCTTCTGACTTGATGTTCTAAAATTCTCCTTCCATTCATTGGATTAACGTAATGAATCTCAACTATATGGATTATATGTAATTATTTCCTTTTTAATATATTTCTTTTCATAACTCTTGGTTGTATATTTATACTTTATCTTGTTTGGATTGATTATCAATGTTTATAATCATTTCTTAGCAATTTTTTTTAGAACTTTAATCTTAAAATTGATCAACATGAACATGGAGATTTTATACTAAATATGATATTTAGTCTGTTGGTCATTCCTATAACACTTGTTCCTAGTGCAAACCTTAGGTTAAAAAAGACCAAGAATTTGGTATTTTTACGTTAAGGTTTAGAATTTTGTCATTAAGTAATTAAGTTTTAAATGCTAGAATTATAGTTGGTTTCTTTCTTTAATTCAATCTTTGCTTACTAGTAATTTTTATTAGTAAGAAATTATCAATATTAATAAAAAGTAGGATATAAATAGAAAGAAAATATAATAGAAAAAAAAAGTTTGGATAAAAATAAACACAAGAAAAAAGTGATTTTTTTTCTAAATAAAAATATTTTTTCTAAATTAAAAGTTATAAACATCCTTTTATACTAATTAAGATACCTTTCTCTAAATTAAAAACATTGCTCATCCATTCATGTTAACTATTTCTTTGTTCACAAAAAGTGAGTCAAATTAGATCAATTCTCTTACATTACCCATCACGGACCAACCAAGTGAATGAGATTGGCTTACTTTGAATAGTGTACAATAAAGTAAAATCAAATGCACGACCTTTTAAAAAACGCAGAATGGTTATCCTCCAAAGCAGCTTGATTCAAATCATGCTGGAATCGGTGGAAACAGCCGATGTGACAATGTACATGTAGACTTGCAGGTATTATAGCCACCGAGTTCACAAAAATATACAGGTAAAGCTAAAGATGACCATCTGCATATTAATTGAAATTTGAGGCCAGGAAACTCATGTGCCAAGCAATCTTACAATGAAAAACGGATTGGATTGGAACACTAATGATTTTCACGATGGCTGTTGTCATTGGACTCAAGATCAGTCTTGCAGTGTTCTCTCAAATCTTTAAGTGATCCAAAGCTTGATTCCTGAAAGCAAAATCAAATCATTCAAATCATTAAGTGAACAAATGAAAGCAATAAACAGGGGTATCGGTCAGAGAAGTTAACCTTCAGAACATAGCATAGCAATAACTAAATAATCATTTGCCTAAAACGTTAAGAGTTTTTACAGAAGTTGGGCTTGTACTAAAATTGGACAAGCCCATTCATAAAGGAAAAAGCGAATGTGAAGATCCATAAATTGGAATTAAAAATGAGAAAGATATAAAAAATGTGGGAGATGTTCTATATATAGAACTTCATAGCAACTAACAATTAAGAAATTAGTCAACCAAGCTAACTAGCAAACTAAACCTCTAACGCTCGCCTGTATATTAAACAAGTTAACATTTAGAGTAGTTTACACTCTCCATGAAAGAAAATGGAATAATGGATAGTGCAAAAACACAGAAAATTCAAATTAGAAACTTATATGGCAATGGAAGTAACAATTCTAATAGGATTTGAATAATAAACCAAGGCAAATGATAGCATTGAAACTCACAAGCTGGCTACTTTCTTGGGCATACATATTCTGCATTTGAACAAAGAGCGACTTCCACTGATGCACAAGGGACAGTTCTAACTTTAATGCCTCCTCACTTCGGTACTGGCCATGCGTGACTGTATCCTCCAATCCAGAAAATTTCTGAATGATCATTTTTGCTTCTTTCTGACTCTTCTTCATAGCTAGCAAAAAGGAAGAACGCTTGAAATTTGATGCTAAAAGGCACAAGAAAATGACATTTGACTGTGGCAGAACGAAATTCCTAAAATGGATTGTAGAACTTACCACTTAGTCTACCTTTGGCATCCTGGTAATGCAGATCCGACCAGATATAAGCAGCTAGTGATAAACATAAGCACCACCCATTGTTACATACTAAACAAAAAATTATCATAAAAGGAAAAAACTTAAATAGAATTCCTTAAGTACGTTTAGTGGTGTTCTTCAATCAAAATTAGAGTTCATCTCAGTAATCTATATTAACCTTTAATGCAAACCTTTTTTTAAATGATATAAAAACTCTTATTTAAATTGGAAAATGGTAGTAAATGTGCCTCATCATAACAAGAAAAAAAATACAACAATTAGATGCATGCAGAGAATTGTAATCACCTTTAGAGCAAAAGGAACAAGTGCAAGATTTAATGTCCGCAGCATCAGTAACAGAATTCGATGCTCCATCACCATTATGCCCCGAGCACGGTTTCAACCTCAGAAAATTTGAATCATCAGAGACAGAGATCGATGGCATTTGCTCGATCCCACATCTGGGTGATCCCAAATTCTCACAGATATCCTTGTCCCCACTTTCAACAGCCCGATCGGTTGGGACAATTTCTTCACCCTTTTCTCCAAACTCAAAATTCTCCAAGCACAAAGGATCCCGCTCCTTCAATCCCTCACTGGACGAGTCTGGTTTCGGAAATGAGCTTGAAGTATCGTCGCATAATGGCAACAAAATGGGTTGGTTTTCTTTCGGGCGCACCAAGACCTCGTTGTTAGGGTGATCCAGTGCTCCAAATTGCATTTGGATTTTGTTTTTAGCCAAATTTTCTACCTCTAAGCACATTTTCTTAGTGAACCGTGAGTCATCACCGTCGCCGGGAACTAAAGAAAATGGTCTTTTGGCCAGACGATTTGTGACATCCGCGAGACGGGGACGGATTTTGAAAAGCCCGTTAGTGGAATCATGGTCGCTTCCCATGAAATTATGATATTGAAAATCTCTAATCAAATCAGCAAAATTGCCTATTTTAAACCCTAACTACTAGAAAACATACAGAAAATGAAAAGAATTCGGTTTAGATGAATTGACCTTGTGAAATGGAAGAGGACCGGAAGCGAATTAGGAATTTGTTGGCATTAGGGTTAGAGAGAAGAAGGTTAGCAACACTGACTTGTTAGTTCTCTTTCGAATTAGCGCCAGAAGAAAGTGACCCAAAACGCAAAGATTCTGGGGCGGGTAAAAGCGGGTTTTCAACTTTGAATTGTAGCTTTTCGAAATATATGACGCGGCATTCTTAACTATGGGTCCAATAATCGGCCCAATACACCTAACCTATCATTTATTCCTTCTATTAAACACCTTACTCTTCACCATATATAAATTAGTGTCAAATAACTTTCTTGATTAATGAACATCATGATTATTATTATTTTAACTTTGATATTCATAAAAATAATTTAAAATTTATAAATTAATAATTATTATTTCATATTTAAAAATAATAATAATTTTAAAAAATATATATTTAAATAAGTTAAATAATAATATTTTGTACGATTGTACTCCTTATTACATATACTATTTTATTATAATTGCTTTCATTTCCTAATATATTTTTGTTAAAAAAAAAAGGTGTTTTGTACATAAAAATAAAATAACATTAGGGTGTTAAAAGAAAAAAAAAACTATGAATGAACTGAGTGTAGTCTTTTACACTTAAACCTAAGTCAATTATAAGTATTTTTTTTATTTTATAACTTTGTATTTTTTATAGTTTAGATAAATGAGTCATTATGAATTTAAATAATATTTTTTTAATTAGTATTTTATATTTTGATGTCCCATCGAGGTATAAATAAAGTGACTATTTTATGTATGAATATTTACGAGAACTATTTATAGAAAGTATTTTCTCAAACCTTAATAAGGTTTTGTTGTGTGGTATGAAAATACTATGATGGTTAATTGTAATTTGATCACTAGTTTATTACAAAAATGTACTCTTATATAAATTGTGTTCATTATTTAATATTAATTGTTATCCTAATAACATGAAGTTTTATTTAAAATGGTTGTTAGCATTTTGAAATTTTAACTAAAGATAGAATGTTTGTTGCGGTAGCATCAATTGTCTTGTGGCGGGGGTGGGCCGAGTCACAATCGAATCGTGACGTTTGGGTTATTACTCTTAAGTAAAAAAAGTTACACTCTGACTAATGACTATAATTTTTTGTCTAGTAGCAAGCGCTTGATCCTAACAATTGGTATCAGAACCAAGGTCACGAGTTCGATTCCTTATGGACAAGTGTTAAAGGAGAGATTGTTGCGAGTTACACAATTGTCCGCTTGGATTGTTACTCTTAAGTAGTGATAAGCGTTTGATCCTAACAATGTTTAATTCAAATAGTAAGATATGATGTTTAGAATGTTGCACATACATAATATCATCATGATACTAATTAATAAATAAGATATTATCTTTGAATTATTAGAAGAAATTAAGATGTTATAATTAATACACATAGAGAGTGATACAGGGGCACTTTTGGATTGTAAAAGAAAAATTACATTTGTTCTTATCTTATGAAGTAAAAGATTGAACTAAATGTTTATATTATTCCTTGTTATTTTATAAGGATAATATAATGGTCAATATTGCATAAGAGATAAAGTGGTGATGTTTGTGATTAAAATTTATTTGTTAAATATTCAAAAAATCATATATCAAATGTAATGATAAGTTATTTACATGAAAAATTAAGCAATTTTATTACAGTTTTTTTAGAAATTTGATTTATTTGTGACTAGCAGGATTTGAATCCAATATCTTAGAGTTGGATTTTGATACTCCAATCACTAAGTTATTAGAATTTTCCGATAATAATTTATAAATAAATTATATTTATATACAAATAAATGTATATCCATGTAAATATATAAATACAAATATATTTGATATATATATATGTTAGATGTGATAGCGTGCTCGAAGGTGAAAGTGTGTGTCAAGTGGGTTTTCAAAATTATGATGTCAAGTTTGTGAACAAGTATCTTTATATGAATTTGTAATTTAATGATAGAATATAATCTTTATAATTTATTTATATAATGATATAAAATAAAAAAATTTCTTTTATCTTTTTATTTTATTTTATTTTATTTTAATTTATTCTTTTTATCTTTTTTTCTTTTATTATTTAATTAAAATTCTTATATTAAAATAATTTTTTCAATATTAAAAATACTTAAATATTTATTTTTAAAATTATTTTTTAAAATTATTTAATTTAACAAATTATTATAAATTAATCTAATTATGATTAAATTAAATTATTAAATAAAAAGTATTTAATTTTTTAATTAGGTGAATAATTAATTTATTAGAATATATTTAAAATTAAATAATTATTATATAATTTTAAATATTTAAATTTTTTAATTTAATGTTGATTTTTAAAAATATACTTTAAATCTTTCGGTTATGTCTATCATGTAACTAATGGTTAATTTATCAAAATTGTTAATTTATCGACGAATATATCCGTCGGTAAGACCAAATTCAACAATTAAATTACGTCGTTAATTTTCAGTCGTAATCAATCATTTTTCGATGATTACATATCTATCAGTAATTAATAATTTTTTGTAGTGCTATATCAATTAGATATTAAATAATAAGAATTTGTGTTTTATTTTTAATGTGTTTGTGAATTATAATAATGTGAGTTACTGTGATTTATTTTAATATATTTGCAAGTTGTTTTTATATGGTTGAAAAACTAAGTTATAATTAACCATTCCAAAGATATCATTGGTGATGTATTTGTGTATTATGGATTTGTATGTACACATTTTATTTATTTATTCAATTTTTGTGGGATAGATATGAATTTATGTAAAATGGTCTCTTTGATTTTCTATCTCTTAAGTAGTTTCCAATATATTTTAATCTAAATATATATTAGGTTTAATAATATATGCTCTAGTTTTTGCATCCTAAACAACCTATATTATAAATAAGTCATATGTGACAATAAGAAAAAAAAACCCCAACGGGGAAGGTTAGTTAGTTGAACATAGAAAATATAATTAAGTTTATAAAATTATAAATAGAAAAATAAATAATTCCTCATTATTCATTTATTTAATTTTTCATATTTTTGAAGGAGAGATATTTCTGCAAGCCTAGATCTCCTCAAGTTGTCGAGGTTTGTTTTCTTTTTCTATTTTGGTGTGATGTGTTTGTTTTATATATTTGACCTCTTGAAATTAATTTAGAAGATTCCTAAGTTAATCAATAAGTGTTAACTTTATAAAGTGGTCAATTAACTTTTAAGTATTTTTTTACTCTTTCTTCTTATCATATCTTTAGTTCTTTAGAGTATAATGTAAGAGAATTTATTTTAATATTTTAAATTATGATTTTGGTTTGAGAGGTCTGAATAATTCTTATATGTTGAAATCAATAATTTATTAATTTAAGAGATGTGAGATAAATATATATGGTTTTGTGTTTACTTTTGTCCATGAGGACAAAGTCATTAAATCAAGTGGATATTATTAGGTTTTTCGAAGGGATTCACAGGAGAGAAGTACATCAATGAAACATGAGTTCAACTCATATAAGGATTGACATCACCCTCAATTCAAAACTTTAAGACATTAAGTTATTGGTCATACTTTTTTATATGTTGCTCAACTTTCTCATTCTCACTTAATGTGAGACTTAACTCACACTTGAATTGCCCAACAATCTCCCCCCAAGTGTGAGTCTCTTCACATTAGTACATCATCTTAAGCATACTAGTAGTCATTTCATGTACCACCGTACATCATAACAGGACATGTTTACCTGATCCACTGTCAGGAAAACTTTCGATAAAAAGATCACTCTTAAATTTCCGATCAACCTTCAACTCTAATACCACTTATTTTTCTCTTTATGTAACATAACTTCTTCATAGCTTTCAGGCTCTCCCTCATCATTTAACAACACAAACTCATGAGATGGATATTTTTTAGAATGGTGGATCTTTCTAGTAGATCTTCTTAATTGAGGTTCCATAGGAGGTTCAGGAATAATTGATTCAGTTGGTTAATTGGCTTGAGTCTCAAACATATTATCTACATTCTCCAAATCTGTATTCACATCTCCCCCATGATTAATAACACTGGTAGGAGGTTCAGACTCAACATCAATACACTTAGGAGCAACATGTCTCGATTTTTCTTTTTTGTCAATATCTTCAATGACCTGATCTTCAAAAAACACATATCGGCTTCTAAAAATCTTCTTATTAACCGGATCCCAAAATCTGTAACCAAAATCTTCAAGACCATAACTCAAAAAAATACATTGTTTAGACTTCCCGTTAAGCTTAGATCGTTCATCTTTAGGACATGAATAAATGTTTTGCAACCAAATACCCTCAAATGATTATAAGAAACATCTTTTTATTTTCACACACTCTCAGGGACATAACCATTAAGAGGAATGGATTGAGATAGATTGATCAAATCCACTACAATTCTTAATGCCTCACCTCAAAAGGCTTTAGGAAACTTTGCATGAGAGAGCATGCACCTGATTCTATCATTAATTTTGCGATTCATTCTTTTTACAATTCCATTATGTTGAGGGTGTTAGGAACAAGACAATAATAAAGGAAAGAATAAAGGAGAGAAAAATAAACGACACAAGAATTTTAACGTGGTTCGGCTAAAATATGTATGCCTACGTCCACGACTACACTAGGAAGTATTTTTATTTCTGTGTGTATCTCAAACTTTACATAGGGTTGCTTATATAACAAAATAGAGAACCTCATCTCACAATCCTAATCGATGTGGGACTAAATCAAGCACCATAATACTAACAATTCTCCCACTTGGAGTTTGATTTACGTTACCACCTAGTGTAGTGCCTTCATCATCAATTTGCTCGAAGGCCAGTTGAGGCAATGCAAAGCCTCAACTTA